TATTCAGTTCAGTGATTCAGGCAAACTTAATTTTATTTCCAGGACTTGCTTTACAAGTTCTCTTGTTTGTTGTTTGCTTGGTTTGTTTGAGCTTAGGTCCATTTTTTAAAACATTAGCTCAATTTGGTAGAAGATCACACAATTGCTCTTTAAGGAACAATCTCTTTGCATAGCAAGTGCCAGATACAGCAGAAAAGGTACTTGTGGCCAAAATTCAATATGTGTGAGAGAAGGTCAGAGGCCTTATTAGACTGCAGAAGAGGAGTGAGCCTGGGAACCACTGCTATGAACATCTCCAAGTGGGGTTTCTTCAAATTAGAATAACTCCTTCTAGTTTTTGATTCAACTTACATATTTCAGCTGAAATGTGTCATTTTATTTAAAGGCAGATATACTTGGCATAAAGAAAAAGTTAAAGGCCCAAACATATATTATTTATAGATGTAGGATTTAAGGCACAAATGCTTCATTTACAGTGATTTTCAATGCAATTTTTCTCAGAAACAGAAATGGCAGCTCAGATAATCAATATTCACTTCTCACCATAAGAGAACATTGGTGTGCAGAGATGCACAAATATTAACAGCTTATTCTTGTCTCAATACCCCCAAAGAAAGGGTTAATTTTTCTTAGAATCTATGTCAAGGGATCTTGGGAAAAATCCAATCTTATAAAAAATCCAATGGCATGAACAGCTTCTCAAGTATTTTAGACCATTTATTCCCAAAATAACATTGGTGCTCAAATAGGTTTTACTTTTATTACATTGGAGCTTTCTGGGTAAGAGAAATTTTGCCAGAAACTCTAGAGGAAAAAATTTGAAATGCCATTTGTTGACAGGGTGGGAAAAATATATAGTTTATCTAATGAAAGCTTTTCTTTTTGCTCCCCTCTATTTTAAAAAGCGTTCATCTCTGATCACCACTTCTTGGGTTCCAGTTGATCTACTGTCTTACTTATCTGGGCTTTCAGTAACTCAAGTTCAGTCATCAAAAGAAACGCTCAAAGACTATTGGTGAGGCAGACAAACTTCTATCATGTCTGAACTAGGTAGCAGGCCTAACTTTCTTAATGCACCTGAAGTCTGAAGTGGCTTCTCTAAGTGGCTGTTTCTTGTTTTATTTTGTTTCAAAAAGGGGTTGTTTTTATTTTCAAATTTTTACCTAAATAAATTGACTTCAGGCTTCCATTCAACCCTTTATACTATTCCTTCTCATCTTTCTCCTCCTTTAATGAGAAAATAAAAGTTGGCTTTGAAATATCCTATAATTTTCTATAAATTCCAGTGAAAAGTTGATTCGGAATTGACCTGCAATGCTTTAAAAGACATGTTCAAAGGCAGAGTAAGAACTAACATTCTAGTATCATAGACTACAATGCACATAATTTTAAGTAAAATGCTCTCTGATTTGTATTGTTGATCAAAGAGAGACAAATTTATAAGCCACTGGCTTGGAAATAATCACAATTTCTATGTGATGCAGTGAGAATTGGGAACAAAGTTGCTGTCCTGGGAGTAGCAAGCTAGAATGAAAAGAGGTGGTTATGGTGGCAATGGTGCTATCAGTTTCCATAGTGCCCCCCAATTAGACCTGCTTGGGGTCCAGCTCCATGACAGATATGGAAGAAAATCCAGAAAAAAAATAATTAATGGGATAGTGAACAGACAAAAAGGATTTAAGCTTCTTCAACCTAGAAAAACAAAGGGTGAGAAGAAAGGCATATGATGGAAGTTTAACAAATGAAGTGATGGACTGAATGAATAAAAGGCCATCATATTTCTTAAAGGCAAAATTAGATTAAATTCCATAAAATTGATTAATGGAGTTTATGACCAATTAAATAAAATACTATAAATATCATTTATGCTTTAAGTTCTTTCAAATATGTTAGATCTAGAGGAAAGAAATATGAACAAGATATGGTATTTAACATCAAGAGTTCACATTCTAGCTGGACAAATACATAAAAACTAAAAATGATAAAATGTTATAAATTATTTAACAGAGGCATGGACTATAATTAAGTGTGTAAGAACATACTAGGGATTTATTTTCTGAGGGAAGGAGGTGGGTATGAAGAGAAGTCCAGGAAGATTTGACAAAAAAGAGAACATTTGACCTGGGCCATGAAGAATTACTTGAATGTGCACTGGCTTCAGAAGGGAGAAAAGTGTATTCCAGAAGAGAGAAAACATCAGAAAAGGCATAAATGAAGACAAAATAGAAGTGCAGGTTAGCTGGAGTATAGCCTCCATGGAGAAATAATGAGAATCTAGGCCAAAAGTAGGCAGAGCCCTAAACACCATAGTAAGAAATGTGTACATTATCTTCTAGGCAAAAGAGAGTCAACAGTATTTTTTCAGTAGGGGAGTGATGTTGGTATCAGCTCCACTTTATGGAGAATAAGTTTACTTGTTAAGATTCAGGGGAGTAAAAAACAGATTCAAGGAAGAAATGGTTAACTGTTTTCAAATATATAAAGGACTGTAGTGTGGAAAGGAATTAGATGTATTCTGTGTGGCTCAAACCTGTGGGTGAACAGGGAGCAGTCATGGGTGGAATGGCTTCTTCAGAGGTTCTCCAGATATCCTTAGTCACCTAATAGAATGTGGCATAAGGGAATCAAATACTACATGGATAGACATATAAGTCGGGGGGATGGGGAATGGACTGGACAACATTTCAGGTCCCTTTCAAACTGGGCATTCTATTTATTCCTCCACAAAAGACCTCTTCAAACAAACAGAAGATAGACATGTCTCCTGTTCATAGTTTTTCTTCACCTCAAACAATTTACCTCCCTTCCACCATTTGGCATATTACATGCTTTACCTTCACCTTTCTGGTTGATTCTTCTGCATGCCATCATATATGTAGCCAGCTCATGTTCCTAATCAAATCCTGCACCCCCAACTGAATATCCTACTTCCCAAAAAAGGAACCAGATTTCTCTGTTACTAATTAGGATTTTATGTACAGTAAAACGTTAATTAACTGAAGTCCAACTAATGAAACATTTTATTTCATGTTCTATACTCAATTTTTATGAGAAAAAGAAACACAGTGACTAAGCAAGCCTTTATCTTGAATTTACTGAAAGAAAAACAAGTTAATCTCCTGAGAAGTGGTCAATAGAGATTCATCCCAGCCTCCTACTCGAACTGATTTCAGAATGACAAACTTGAGACCCTCAAAAAATGTTCCAAATAATAAAGTAAAATGTAATTATGTTCACTAAACTGTACTTATTAAGGTAGTAAAATGGACTACAATTTTATAAAATGTTTTAACCACAAAGACTGAAATAAAACATAGATGTGCTACTTAATTTTAAAAAGCCTCAATTAACATCCCCTTCCCTAAGTATTCTAGTTAATCAAAACTTTACTATATTATAGATCCATGTCCTTCACTATAATATGTGAAGAAAAACAGAATGTTTCATTTTTACCTCTACAACTACCACCAATGTGGCACCTAGGTGGTCATAACTATTTTTTGAATGAATTAATACATGAATATTAGGTATTATTATTAGCCTGCCTCTGGAGCCATATTCTCTTTTTTTCATCTTCAAAAAGTTGTTAACTCTGTATCCATATGTTGGTGTCAGGTCATATAAATAAGATGCATAATTATAAAATTAGTACATGTAGTATTATGGACATTCATCTGAGTAAGCTATAAGACATTAAAACCAAAAGTGATCTTGAAGGTCATCAAATTCAGCCATCTAATTTACAGAGGTGGGAAGTAAGGCGCAGGGAACTTATATGACTTAACTAAGGTTATACAGCTTGTTAGTGACAGAGGCAGAACTAAAATATTGGGTTTTCTTCTTTCTTAGTCCTGTGATTTTTCTTCTACTATAAACTGGCTCTGTATTCCTTAAAGTCAAGTAGGAAACAGACATACAATTTTTGTGCTGAAACAAGAAGGTACTCAGAAATGTTATTTCATTGCAACACTAGAATTCTCAGGCACAAAGAAGGCTGGTTTTCCTCTACTTTATTGGAAAGGTATCTTGTGTATTTATTTTATTTCCCTGCTACTCTAAAATCAATCTGATGATGTTTTAAGAGACAATAAAAGCCAGAATAATATGGCATAGATTTATCTATCAGTCGCAGCAGTTCAGAAATTGCCATCTACTGTAATTTGTTAGTAATTTATAAGAGTTCCTGTTGGGCACCAAGACATGAAGAGTTACTTTGTGTTATCAAACTAATAACTTCTCACTTCATTTTTAAGAAATTGTAATTCTTGGTAAATGAATTGCCCACACATGGACTGTCATGAGGCAAGGTTTGGGACTGTAATATTCAAAGTTTTGAGGGGTGTAATGAACAAGAAACCTTCAGAAGTTTAGGAAATAAATTACAAGGCAGCACTAGTATACCTTTCAGATCTAATGGAATCTGCCATGCCACCTTGGTTTTACACCTTACTTGGTTTCGAACACCATGAATATTATGTTCGCATAATAATATTGTGTATGGTTTTTTATATTAAAGTGGGAGGTTTTAGTCCTTTGCCTTATGATCACATTGAGAGATTATCTCTTAAAAGAAGTTTCAAAGCCTATAGTCTGGAACGACAACCTAAAATTTAACCCAGACAATTAAAAATAAAAAAAACCCAATTACTCATGACAGATAAGCCTCATTGGAGATTCATGACCTGGTAGTCTATAAAAGTATTAAACTTTTTGCATTACATTGAGGCACAAAGGCAGAGGGCAGGACAATTAGTATTCTGAATGATATCAATCCTCTTAAGAATTCAATAATCTATGTGGGCATAGAGGTAAATTTTAGCAGAAAGAAACCTGACAACTTATAAAAATATTAAACAAAAAAGACAAAAATAATCCCATTTCTTCAGTTTGTGAACTATAGTGCCTCTGGTCTTTGGAAAAATGGGATATAATGATGAAGAAGAGATCAAAAACATTCTAAAACTTAATGGATGATCAACTGAAAAATATCACTTACTTACTTTGCTGTTATGACCAATCATAAAGTGAACCTGAAAAAATAAAAATGCAATTTCAATTTCCTTGATCTTTTATGTTTATATTATCATAAACGATAGCATAGTTTTTAAATTTACACATCAGAAAGGCCATCTGAGGAAAAACGGGCTTTCACAACTCTAATCCTTTATTGGCATTTAAAAAAAAACTTTTATAATAGTGATTAAAACTCAAAATAGGAGTTATATGCAATATTTTTCATTTCTGTATCTGTTGATTGTCAACACTAGTTTTTCTGTGGCATTGTAGGTATGTAGGTAAAAAAATGAGCAGTCATCATTTTCAAAATAAATCACAGTATGGATAGTGGGCAGGAAGCACTAATGTCTGCCAAGGTTCCTGTCCAGTTTATCACTTCAAGGTCTACCTAGTGCATTTTTACTTCATTAATCAATGGTTGAACACTTAATAAGTTCCTTCCAAGTCAAGGTCCATCATTCACCAGACCCCATCATTGCAGGGCTGAGCTGGAGCAGATTATTGCCACAACAGATTACTGAGATGTTTGACAAACTAGCTTATAATGTTTCATTCTTACTCTGTCAGGTAAAATTTAGCAGGATTAGGATTGACATCAAATGCATTTCTGAAAAGGTCATGATCTTATCACATCACTTAGATTAAGCACTGTAAGTATGTGCTTCACATTGGGTGGGGGATCTTTAAAATCCTAGACAACTTCAAGAAGACATTCAGAGATTTTTCCCCCAGCGACCTCACTGAATTTGTTGGAAAGCTAGAGGGCATAACGTTGACAGGGCTGCTTACTTAAATGACTCATAAGACTGGAAGGCAGCTTAGTCACTGCTTATATGATTCCATAAGCAGCCAGAGAAAGGATAGTCAGCTGGATCACCATTTTTTACTTACATGGGTCCACCACACCACCTTTACCTGATCGAATCCCAAGAGGGCCACTGCACCTGGCTCCTCTGGATGGCACTTCTAGCCTACTATCTCAGACACAAAACTGATTTTAGATAAGTTAGTGTTTAGGTACCTGCTACACCACACCACACCACACCACACCACACCACACCACACCACACCACATCCTACCATGTACGATATTCCCAACTTGGCCTCTAAATAGTTTGGATCAGCACCAGCCAACTGCAGCCAGAATATCTCTATCCCTAGTACCTGTGAATCCCACTGTTCCTCCACAGAAGCCATTTCTTAGCTATCTGTATCACCTGGGGCCTCTATCACCTGAGCTTCTTCATTACTACCTACTCAAATGGTATATGTCAGTCACGTTCTACCAGTCCTTTCCCAGTCTTAGGTCTGATTCTGACAGTTTATCTCCCAATATCCCAATTCCCTAGTATAGACTCCCTATGATGGTCAGCATTACAAGAAGACAAATCACATCAGGCCTATTTCTCACTCTAGGCCACTGCACATACTATTTCTCTATTCTTCCATCTTCCCTTCCCATACCCCCATCATCTAACCAAACCCTACCCATTACTCATCACTAAAGTCCCTTTCCTTCAGAAGCCTTCCCTGATTGCTTCAACAATGATAAAAGCTACCATTTATTGAGCATATAACACTTAACACTTTGAATCCATTATTGCTTTATTGAGGTATAACTGACATACCATGAGATTCACTCACTTAAAATCTACAATTCAATGATTTTAGTTAAATTATTTAATTGTGCAACTACCACTACAAACCAATTTTAGAATACTTACACCACCACAGAAACATCCTTTGTGCCCATTTGCAGTCACTCCCTGTTCCCACTTCCTACCCTTGGCAACCACTAATCTATTTTCTGTCCCTTTAGATTTGCTTTTTCATAACATTTCACATGAATGGGACTGTACATTATGTGATCTTACACATCTGGCATCTTTCACTTAGTATAATGTTTTTGAGATTCATCCATGTTGTAGCATGTATCAAAACCTCATTTCTTTCTATGGCTTGAATAATATTCCATTGTATGATGGAAAAATTTTGTTGATTCATTCATCAGTTGATGAACATTTGGGTTGTGGCTACTTTTTGGCTATTAGGCATAATGCTATTATGAACATTTGAGTATAAGTTTTTGGGCGGACATATATTTTTATTACTTTTGCATACATATTTAGGAGTGGAATTGCTCAATCATAAGGTAGATCTTTTTTCATATGGTAAATTCATGTTTAGCTTTTTTGATAACAGATTTATTGAAAAAATATATACATATATATTACCTCATAATTCACTCATTTAAAATGTACAATTTAGTGAATTATAGTATATTCATAGAGTTGTGCAACCATTACCATGATCAAAACCCCAAAAATAACCCCTATGTCCTTAATTCCATTAGTGACAATCTTCACAGGAACCCTACAAGTTAGGCATTACATCCCTAGTTTTACAAAGAAACAGAGGTTCAGCAAAGCCATACACCTACTAAGTATCAGAGCTTGCATTTGAACCCAGTCTTTTTTACTCCATAGCTTAGAGTATTTTCACATCACTATGCTGTCACTAATCCTCAGAGTCCCTCTTCTCTGAAATTGTTCTAGAATTCTCATTTGATTTCCTATTTATGTCTCTCCTTTGCCCATAATCATAAACTTCCTTATCTATATCTTACACCTTAAAAGTGAATATCTTCTCTCTACAACTAAACCATAAGCTGCTGAAGATCAAGGAGTGCATACTATATTTCCTTTGACTTCAGTCCCAAAATGTACTGTAGAAAAAGTAAGAGTTCTATATTTTTTATAATCAATTAAAGTTATTCCTTACAGTTAACCTGAATCTCTACTCTTATAAAGGTAAATTTTTAGACTTTTCCTTTAGTGTCAATATAGTACCAGCAGCTGAAGCTCTATCAAATTCTATAATCATGTCACACCGTAACAGATCTGTCCTTTACTTGAAATTGCTCCAGCTACATGGTCTTCATGATGTAGCTTTTAGATTCTTGTGTTTTACCTGAACTTGGGTTTCTTTTCTGGATATTAATGTAAATATGTTAGACCTTGTCCTCCCAAACTGACAAATAGTTTCTCATGAGCAAATACCATGTATTTTTGTTTTGGATACCTGTTTTGAACAATATAGTGATGCATAAACAGCATATTTCTAATAAATGCTTCTTCCAGTGTTTGAATAGTATTATCATGAAGGAGTCTCTCATGATGATATGTTCTTGCTCAGGAGAGTAGAGTCTGGCATTCATCTATGTGCTGAGGCTGCTACTATTATGCTGTATGCCTTTGGGAAAATTGTTGTCCGGCTCTGAGCCTCTGTTTTACCATCTGTAGTGTATACAGTGTTTGAATGAGAAAATCTCAGCATTGCTTCCCACTCTTGAATCATCTTTTCAATATGCTTACTACAAGTTCTCAGTCACACATTCAGTAGTTTCAATATTTAATCACTTTTACCTTGCTATTAATGATGTGCCTACTAGAAACTCTTACCATCTTCCTACACTCATTTTTATTAACCTGAACTAGTTTCACCTTTTGCGGCAAAAAAGTGTATAATATTTTTTACCCAACCTGAAATGCCTTTGTCATTTTTATCATACTTAAAAATTTCAAAAATATTTTCTCATGTCTAGAACTCCTTCCTTCAAAGGACAATCTGCTCTCTCAGATTAGAATACATCCTATAGCAGCTTTCCTACTTCATTAAGTTTGTGTTTTCATTTTCCTTTTTTGCCAGGTTTTTTTTCTTCAGAAAAAAAGTAAGACAGAAATATGACTCATGGACATTAAATGCTGTCATATTTCAAAAGTAATGGAGCATTTTCTCATTAACTGATAGAAAAATGAGCATAAAATTTGATAAGCAATAAAATAATTGGAAGGAACTGGAAGTTTTCCATAATTTTCATCCAGAGAAACTATTTAAACAAACTATTTTATTTTTAAATAGCATCTTCCCTTATATATAGTCCTGAAGTGCCTAAGCTAGCAGGTTAATTTCAAAATGTTATTAGATAACATTTATACAGTTAATAATACATCCTGTTGCCATGGAATCTTAACTGCATTTTTGAGCTCTGAGGGTTGATTTTTTAGCAATTAATCCCGTAGCTCTAATGTTTCATTAACAGATTTTTATATGAATGTAATTATTTGGATGAGAATATTGAAAATATTTCCTAGTTTGCAAACGATACTCAAATTGGAAGAAAAACAAAGGATGAAGAAACTGTAATCAAAACCTTAAAGATAAATATTATTCAGGTGACTGAATCAATATAAGGCAAAATGTATTCTCATGCTAAGAATGCTTGAATCTAAGAAGATCCTGCTCTCTGGTCTCTCACTATCTCTGTTCCTAATCCTTGGCCACCTTCCCCTCCCAACACACACTTACAAAGAACAGGAAAAAACAGAAGTGATCAGGGGAAAAGGGAGAAGCCCTTGAAATTATTGGCTCCCAGGCATAGAACTAGAAGATTATTAATCGCTTAATAATCTGCCAATTCTAAAACTATAAATTAACTGAAGTAATCCTGTTTATGTCCAAGATTCTCATTATAGTATATTTGGACTTGAACCAACAGTATTGATCATTCTTTTTCTGTTCTGGACCACTGCATCAGAGTACTACTTACTAATTAAAATGTGATAGCTAGCCCAAGTGTTGAAACAGATGGAGAAAGACAGTGTTTTCATATTTGGATTATTCTCACTGAATGGAAAATCAGAAACACGTTATCATAACTCATACCTACAAAGTAAAGGACAAGAAATCCTAGGGCATGATAACAGAGGATGAGCAGTCTTAGGTTGGCAGTGACTAGGGAATTTGGAGGAAATGATCAACTCATGGTTCTGAAGGTAGGAGCAGCAGTTTAGCAGGGAAATGGCAGAGGATGAATTCTCTTACAAAGAAGCTTTAGATTTAGATTCAGAATGTCTTTCTGCACAAACGTGGGTTCTGAATACAAGTTGTCACATGATTAGTGAGAAGCAGAACTGTTATGTGAACCCAATTCAGCTATTTTCACCAAGAATTA